AGAAAAATGTATATATTATGTCTATATGCTGATACACACCAATTAAACTAGAAACTAAGAGGAAATGGAAGACAAAAGGAGGGAAGGTTAAAGCAAAAGGGAAGAAAACCAACCTAAAAGGTTTCAACTAAAACAAAAAAAAGAGTATATCAGGGATAAAACCATTAAATTCATCTATTGCAGGATGTTCATTAAGATCATTTTAAAGTAGAAACCTTCAGACTTGGTAATATTAAATAAAATTCTGCTGATTTAAATCAAAGAAAAACAGAAGAGAGTTAAACAGAAAGCCCCACAGAGATACAATAAATTGAAAGATAATTAAAGTAAAAATGGGGAGAAGGAAGAATATTAGAAAGCAAAATGAAAACATTCTGCAGTTGAAACAGGATTGAAGGAAAGCAGCATAAAAGAATTTCAGTAACTAAAACAAAAGGAGGAACCCTAAGGAAAACACTTCCACTGAAGTATAATGAAAACAAAATGTGCACACAAATTGTTCCGTAATAAAAGACAGACAGAGAGAGAAAGAATGAATAAATAACAGTGAAATGAGAATAGCAGTGATACTCCTTAGTGTAGATGGGTCTTCTCATGCCAAACACACTAAGAGGAATTCTTCGCCTCAAAATGAGTCAAGGAACGAAACAAAACAGAAGTGACAAAAATGGCAGCCCTAGTAGCAGTGCCATGGCTCATCTGCTATCATATGGCCAGTCATCAGGACACTCTGTTCTAGCAGTAAACAAATGGGCACAGCCACTTCCCTGTCATCAGACGAAAGCCTGGAATTTGTTCCAGTAGTAGCTGAGTGACCCCTGCAGACACTAGGTCAACTCCCCTAAGGACAAGGTTCTGTGCTTCTCAAAGACTTAAATTTTTTGACATTTTAATCCTAAACCACAATTTTCTCTGGTTGTACTATTTTCTTTCTTTGATTACTACAAACAATGGGCCTGAAGAAAAAATATTAATTAATCTTAAAGGTCTACTTGCAGCCTTCACTTTATGTTGCCACTCTGTCTATACCTACACACACAGAGCTTTGAGCAACTGAGTTTGGTTTCTGTGACTGGCACTGGATCATACACCACAAATTCACTTCTGTATCTTACATTGTACCACATATTAACACTCCAGTCTTAAAAAGTCCTTTTCCTGCCCCAATCTCTGGAGATGGAATTATTGAGAAGGATATCTATAGAAAGTGTTCTAAAATAACAAGCCTTTAAAAAAAAAAGTTTCCAATACTGTGAACTTTTGCTACTTTCAAGCATTTTCCCTCTTGCCTTTGGGGGAATAGAACTAAAGAAAAGAGTCTTGAGCCATGGAGGATGTGCCATTTTCACTTATTGAAGTAATTTACTAGCGAGAGACTGTAGATTCATTTTATATGGAGATCTTAAAATAGGAGAAGATATCTTTATAAAAATACATGCTCTAGCACAACTTCTGAGAAACACTATAGACTGTGAATACAAGAGTCTAATTATGTGATAACCTTTTTTCCCTTCCATCATCAGACATCAAAAACTCCACAATTATAGGTAAATATGAGTTACACATAAAAGCAATTCATCTCCTTCATGGAGTAGATGGCTGAAATACAAATACAACTGTTCAAAATAATGCAAGACTGGAATAGGTGTTGAGCCATAGAACCAGATCTTCATCTCCTGGTGCCTGAATGCAAATGAACAGGATGAGACCTTACTTGTAGGGAAGAAAGGAAGTGAGTGTGAAAAGAACTGCGAGAAAAACAGTGTGTAAGACTACACAGAAAAGGCTTTATAAAGAAACTAAAATAAAAAAAAAGTTGAGAGATTTTTCAGACACAATGCTATCTGGAAAGATCTCAATTGAAAGCAAAGAAACTGACTTTTGTTGCCTTTTTTTCCCTAGTGTTCAGCAAAGAAGGAACTGTCTGTTCTGTCTTTATAAACAAAACTAAATCTGACATCCATGTATCTCAGCTTCTCATTCTGATGAATATAATCTGCAAAACCTTCAAAAAAATGAATTAATAGCTCCACATCTGACAAGTTACAACACTAGCGTTAAAAGCAGGA